ATTCCTCTAACCCTTTGTACTGAGACAATAAAATTAAACCGGTCGATGGTTCTACAAGCAAAACACCCAGTTCTCCCCTACTTAGGGTTCAAACCATCACCGACTGTCGAGTATAACATTAAAACCCAGGCCGAAAAAATAAAATACCAACTGAGATCTTCGGACTACATAACACAACACAAGATGATCCTTCGAATAATAACCATCCAATCCTAAGTGAACTCCGAATCTCAAATGGAGACATCAGAAACTTTCCCTAGCATCGCCGCCTCATTCCTAGAGAAATCGATTTGAATACCATTAGGTTGACGAGACACCTTACGAACCGAAATTCATGAAACCAAAACTTGCATTTGAATAATTTACTCGTATCCTTATCCTCCTCTGAATCTTCAAGAATTCCTTACAGATTCGCAAACTCCAACAAACTCGGCATACTCCCGATCATCTCAAAACTGTGTCACCTATCCAACTAGTGATATGGCATAATCCTAGGCCACCGAACCAAAATAATAGTTGAGCCTCGATTATTCCCTAGTTGTACGACGGAAACGATTCACAATGAACCGAACATTACCCCCTCCTTGCGGGAGAAACTAACGTGGAGGACACCCTCCTTTTTTCCTTCTATCATTAGACATACCTCCGATTCTTTCTCCCTCAACCATGGGAGATTCGAATAACATAACCCCGTCGTAGAGAACAATATCCCAGCCATTGGCTGACCACCCTGCCTCAAGATGCAACCTTCGAGGCGATCAACACAATTGCTTCCTCTTAAGTCATACGACTCAAACTAGCGCTACCTCGAACCAGGTCTTCAACACCTTCGGATCATTTAAGTTGTATAGATATGCACCATTGAGACCCAAACTTCCACGTCCATATAGGCTTGAACAAGCATTAATTCCATCCTCAACCAGAGCAACCATAACCGAAGGACCAACCACACGAGGACTGTTGCATCATCTCTAGTGCTATACGATACGTAAATTAAACCGAAAACTTTAGAAAATCAAATAATACCCTAACACATCACTACTTAACCATCCATCCCATGGAACTTATGACTTCCTTGTTACAAATACAAGTGATGTGCTTCCAATAGTACGGGTCCATACTACCTTCTACACGTACCCGTATTTATCATAAAGGATTGCCACAAATTTCATGGGCCACTAGGCCCCAAGCAATTAGGGTGCACATACTCCCTATACTTACTCTCTCAAGAGTAACTATCAGATCCTCATAACAGATGGACTTCTAATTCATGGAAAATATTTGTATGTGATTTTCACTTGAAAAAAGTTGAGTCTATGTCTATATATCTCTAACAAACATTATCAAAATGTTTCAGGTTGGAAAGATCCTGAAAATTCAACAAGTGTTTGAAGAATCAGATGTTGGAGCACTTGAAGTTGACATGGAGCACTTGCTGAACATGGAGCACTTGAAGTTGACATGGATCACTTGCATTTGACATGGAGCACTTAAAGTTGACATGGAGCACTTGCAGTTAAAATGGAGCACTTGAGGTTGACATATAGCACTTGCTGAAAGGAAATTGGACCGTCATGATCTCAGATGGCAGATCTAGATCATATGTGGAGCATCAAGATGTTGATGGCCCAAATTGAATATTGGTGGCTCATCTCAAGTCAACAGACATCATGAATACATTGATGACTCAACAAGATTGCACGTGGCAGATCATGTACAATGATGTCACGTCCAAGTTCTCAATGGCACATCACGAAGGAGGAGGAAGCAGCATGGAAAGTAGTCAAGCCTACCCGGATTTTCTTCGTAATAACCTAGGATCCTTCTATGGAGATGAAGGAGTAAATGACCTAATCCACTGGATGAAAGGAATAGAGATTAGGTGTAATAAGGAGGTTAGGGTAAAATTTGATACTTGCACTGTCATAGGGAAGGCCCTCATTTGTGGAGTATCCACATAAAGGCCTTAGGAGTAGATGCATCTTATGTAATTTCTTGGGAAGAGTTGAAAAGGCAAGTGATAAGAGAATTATGTTCTACGGGAGATTTGGCCAGAGTAGAACATGAATTCAGTTAGTTAAGCATTAGGAATTCTAGTCTAGACTTCTACACCATAATCTTTGAGGACCTCGCCACAGTATGCTTAGAACTGATTGGATCGGAGAGCAATAAAATCAATACATATCTCCAAGGACTAGCACCTCATGTCAAGAAGTAGATATAAGCATACAAGTACCACACCTTCAAGGAAAGTAGCCAGCTAGCGTTCCACATTAGGGATACCAAAGTCCTAGATGGCATGATTAAGGCCACGGAATTTGGAAGAAAATGGAGAAAAATCAACACTGAAGGACCAAGCAGACACTTGTACAAGAGAAAGGAGGAAAGGAAGCCTCCAACAGGTGTTCCCCAAAAAGGGATAGTTGGGAAGATTTCCCTTATGCAGTAAGTGTGGACTACACCATCTCGGTAGCTATGAAGATTTCAAGTGCAAGGACTGCGGAAAAGCAGGACATATTGCAGATGTCTGCAAGAGTCAACAAATCCAGTAAAGGAATATAGGAAAATAATAGGAATAGGAATGTGAGGGGAAAGGAAACCCCACAAAAATAATTATAATATTTTTCCGAGGATGACAGGAATCCTCGAAGCCTAAAGGTTTTAATAAAGAGTTCATTTTAATAGTAAATTTAAAATGATTAATTAAAACTTCGAAATCCCTCCATAAATCCTTAACCAAAGTTTGATAGAAATTTTAGGTTTCCTATAGATGTAAAATAGGATCAGATAGGATTATATTACTAAGGATGAAGTTAAAGAATTAGAAGTAGTAAACTAAAAAGAAATTTTAGTTAACTAAATGAGAAAAGGAATCGGATTCCTTTATATGAAATTTGTCTCCAAGTTTAAAGTTTAGATAAGACTCGAATTTCGAGGACGAAATTTCTAAAACAGGGGAGAATGTAACAATTGAGAATTTTCTATCTAAAACAGGGGAGAATGTAACAATTGAGATAAGAACTTAGGAAGGAGGAAGGGAAAAAATGGAAGTCGTATGAAGGATATACGATTTCTATATAATATAAAAATGTGGGTTAAAAAATGAAAGGTAAAATTAGAAGATGCAACCTAAAGAAGAGTTGTAGTTCAAGGAAAGAGCTACACAAATATATAAAGAGGGTAAGAAACAAAATTCATATGAAGAAAATATCCACTTTTAAAAAGGATTTAAGGGTGCGCATCAATGTGTGTTCCATGTCCATTGCGCACATCTGACCCCCAGATTCGTCGGAGATTTAGAAATGTGGACCACCAGAAGAGTGACACGTTACAAGATTTGGATAGGCCACGAAGTAAGTGAACGCCACACAGGAGAGTGCCCAGTGCACATCATCACTATAAATAAAGGTGCTTTCTTCCTGGTTTTTCATCTCAAACCAACCTCCAAACTTTCTCTCTATACTTCAATACCCTCTCGATGGCAAGAAACTCTGGTTGCAAGGGTTCGGGCGCTTATTAATATGATATTAGAGTGAGTTCACGACCCCTATTTTAATGTTTTAAAATGCTTTCAGGTGGAATACATGGTTAACAAATGATTTTATGAAAATATTGGTTTTATTAATGTTAATCATTTTATGCCTTAGGATAGTATAAATGTAGATACTATGTCTAGATTTAAGCTATGATTTGTGTCTAAAGGATATGATGCTCGAGAATCTAGGAGTAGGTATTACCTAGATGTTATAAAGGCCAAATCCCTAGGAAACTTTAAGTACCTACGAGCTATGCTAGACAAGATTTAGGATATCCACTATACTTAGTTGTTACGCCGCCCAAATATCTTGTTATAATAACAATAATTAGGGTATATATATATATATATATATATATATATATATATATATATATATATATATATATCAGATAATTATGAGATCATAGATATAATTATCAAATACATACATACATACATACATACATATATATATATATATATATATATATATATATCAGATAATTATGAGATCATAGATATAATTATCAAATACATACATACATACATACATACATACATATATATATATATATATATATATATATATATATATTTGATGATATACACCCGGGAGAGGTATATACAAAGATAGTGTGATGTGCGTGTGTGTGTGTATATATATGTATGTATGTATGTATGTATAGGGATCATTATGATAAAGATAAAAGATTAAAATATAAAATATAAAAGCCTATGGTTAATGCGTTAGTGAATTGGTTATTCGTCCAAAAGCCTTGATTAAATTCGGCATATCCCCAATTTCTATAATCGTTAATATTGCGAGAGTTAGGAAGTTATGTATAGATCTATATGGGGCCATGACAACCCCACATGCGATTGCTATCTACAATCCCGACAGGATACATTCCATATAAGTTACTATTCGACTTCCGATGAAGCATCGTGACTAGGGGTACATTTACGTTCGTAGCATCGATTATAGGGGATCACGTTAATACATTAAAAATTGCCTTAGAGCTTTAATTATCATTAGGGACGCCTGGTATGGTAATTAATATGTGTTAGGATCGTTAGAAATCCTTAAAATATATATAATTCGGGTTAACAAAAGATAATCCTAATTAAATTATGTTAGGATCATTAGATATCCTGAAAAGACAGTAATTTAAGATTTATAAAAAAAAAATAAGAAAGGTTTTCACAAAATAAAAGTATTCTTAAAAGAAATCCAAAATAAAAATTCGTGCACTCACCAACATTATGTTGACTTTCAAAATGCATGTATTCTTAGGTTAATAGGATTGGCGCTCTTTATACCGTCACATTTCTCGGTGTTTCTGCTAATGATCAGGCAGGGGGTGTGACAGAATGTTCCTCTTTCGTTTTGGAGGAGAAATGCCAATCATGTTATCTAATCGACTCATTACACCTTCCAAACAAAGGGCCTTCTCTACCCCTTCCCTTGTTTCCTTTTCAAGGACTAATTCCTCAAAGCTTCCCTAGTTAAAGAGGGAGGATTCCCGCTATCATGCTCCATCTTCAAAATCTTGTTGATCAGGGAGGGAAGCACAGTAGTAGCATTAGTAGTAGAATCAAGGCCAAAACGATTCACGATGGAATCCATGCTAGATTCTGAGCGAGAAGGTGAATTGGGTAGAGTTATTTCCTCCTTAACCAAGCTAGAACCCACCAAATGTTTTCTATACAACCGCTCCAGTATGGTAACCGTCTTGCCTCCTCATGTTTCTAATGGCTTTCCCCAATTTATTCCAATGAGAACTTATCCCTGTCATATCGAATATGATTTCCTCAGGATCCGACAACTTAGTGAAACTCTCCAACAAACAATCAACGATATCTTGCTCCTGGGCGGTCAATTCAGGAGCAGGATCAGTAGGCATATCAGCAGAAGCACTGTAAGCCATAGGTCCAGGAGAGGCGGAAGCATAAAAAAAATTCTCTATCCATTACTTGATAGAAGTACGAAGCTCATCACAGATCTCCACTAACCCATGGCGAAGTGAAAAATACAGCTAATCCCCAATGGACATTGTTATATAAAATGGTGGAACACAGTGATAGAGGGTACAATGTCCAAAGTGGAGCAAATCATAACAAAAAAATATTATCTTTTGAACCCTATTCATAGTGATCTGCGCAATTTGACGACCGTAATAATCAAGAACTGTCTTCAAAATTTTGAGCACCAAAAACCGTATACCCGATTTAAAGAATACCTGATACACGCTGACAAAATCCTCATGATCATCAACAATGACATTCCCAGATTCCGGAAAGCGAGGATAAAATTAGGGATCGATATCATATTTTTTCATGATATCAGCCAAATTTTTGGGAGTAAGTTTGGACATCACGGTGCTGATGCTAGAAATCTCTTTGCGAGCCATGAAGGAATAATAGTAAAGAAACATGAGTAGGAATGATTTGAGCAAAGAAAAAGGAAGTGAAGAAAGTAGTAAAGGAGGAAACAATACTTATAGGAAAATGAGACGGGGGCACATTTATAGGGCAGACAAAGTGGCAGTTACACGCTGCAGTGACCTTAAGTGGAAAAGAACTAAATAGACAGTTATAGATATCATGATGAATGTTAGATTCCGCCAAACCGTCACTTCAGACATAAACCCAGGTAATTATTCTTATCCGCTCCCAATGGTTATATTACTAAGACATTCTATTTGAATTATCACTTTCGAAGAAAGTAATAATCCAAATTGGGGGGCATAATAGCGTATATGGCTCGAGACCACGCACATACCCTAACTAACTGAAACATACATATATACCGAACCCTGCATATGTACCGAAACATACATATATACCGAACCGGACATATATACGAAACCATACATATGTACCGATCCATAGAGATTACGACTAAAATACATGATGTCGTCATAACAGTACCAAAGAGCATTGGAACTCATAGTAACACAAACTTTATTATGGTTGATGGTTGACATATCCTTTAGCTATCAACAAACAGCTATTAAATGACGACAAAGTACATATGAATTTACCTTCAAGTATCATACCATTAATGCGATAGGACCTCAGACTTGCTCGGTAGAGAAAGAGGTAGTTACCTTTGTATGGTTGTTACCTTTTTATATCCTCTATAAATAAACGACCAATACGATTTCACAAGGTACGCTACCATCTCGCCACTTAGTAAATATGATTTATGATACATAAAGAAAAATCATCTCTAACTTTATCATCGGAGCGTTAGCCCGTGATCATATCTTAATCATCGACTTATGAATTGTTTATGTCTCTGGATTTATTCACTTCAAATGATTCACTCGCTACCACAGTCCATGGAAGATGGACCCGGAGGTGCATTAGTTACTCATTAACCTTTAGGCTTACAGTTGTTGTTTTATGTTTTTAGATGCAGTTCCTTCAAGTTTCAAGGGCAAGGAGCTGGCATGATTTGGATATCTAAACATTCTAGGAAGGGAATTACATCTAGTTAACCATTATATGTTACGTTGTGGTTTTCAAAACAATAATTTTCTTCCAATTTTTTACTATAAGAATGTTAATGCGATATGAAAAAATGATTTTTTTTATTTTAATAATAAATAGAATGTAAAATTTTGGTAATACATATACTCTGATCTTCAAAATTTTATGGTTGTATTTTTTGGGATGTTACATTAAGTGATTAAGTGCTTCTATTTTAAGACTAATTCGGTATTAGTTCTTAGAGGCTTAAGAAGTACTTAATACAAGAGAAGACAAGCATCTTTGGTCATTAACACTTGCTTGGTTGATATATATACAACAACCATACTTTGGGTCTCTCTTGCCATTTTCATCAACTACCAAGCCTACCCTTGAGGAATCAATGTGTATAAAGGTTGTTATTCTTTTCTTTCTATGGATGATTTAATCTTTCTATGAATGCAAAACGATCCTTGGTGGGTTAGCACGGTTTTAAGCTTTTTCAAATTATAAAGCATTCGTTGCCGTTTTCAGCATTTTTAGAAAACGAATTTTGAATAAACACCAACACTCTGCAGTCTTAGGTATAAGGAAACCAAAATCATCAAAGGTGGATTGTATAAACACGTGTTAATTACACATGCACGCTTTTCATGTTTTTCCACTTCGCATCAGGCAACTATTAGATTATTGTGCATAACAGTAAAACCTCCACTCGTCAAGCCCATGAGAGAGGGAATCGTTGTTAGATCCATATATGTGTGTGCTTTCTTCCTTTCCATCAAAAAACCAAATTATAATTTAGTATGAGTGTTGATTTTCCTTCCAACGAGTCAGAAAAAAAAATAGATGTTTATGTCTTATCAAAAACCTCGACGTGCCTGAATACATCGAAAAGAACGCCCCTAACCATATCGTGACGATACTTAAAATCCAGGAGCTCTCTAGAATGTACTACATGTTCCTCAAAATTAGTCCATACATGCCTTGTGATAAACTAGGTATTGAAGGTTTGTATTGATCGTATACACTCAAGTATGAATAATGAAGAATAAAAACAGAAGAACAAGGATGATCAAAAAGACACTTTCACTAAGAAAAGGTTCTCACAAAGAGAACAGTCGCACAAAGCGAGGAACAAAGCTCTATTAGGGTTTAGCACTAACAATATACTATATACGATTACATAAATGGAGATCCCACTATTTTGGGGATATATTCTAATATATGTAAGGTCTGATCCTAATCACTAAGATTACAGATCGGATACATATTCTATATTTATATAGTATATCCACCTAATATACAAATGATCACTAAGATCATTAGGATCACAATGTCACTAATGAAAACGTTGTTGGCGATGGCACTGGTAGATAGCGTGTAATGTGTTTGACTCATTAGATCATAAGGTGTGACCTTAAAATATCCCCTATCTAATGATGTCAAAACTAATCTTCAAAAGAGTCATCAAAATCATCATTCGAGAACTTTTCAGCTTGAGTTAAAATTTCAGGTTTCAACCACTTAAAGTCATCAAGATGAAGATCAGTCAAACACTTATTGAGTTCGATAGAGATCACCACATGATAGCCTCGTTCTAGTTCTTTATGATGCAAGCCCTCCAAATGAAGATTGAACAAATGCACAGTGGAAGCAGTAGGAAGATTGTTAGTGCACTGAAAGCACATTTGATTTTGAATGTCAAGGTAGAAGATTACATGTTCTGGTTCCTTAATGAGCATGTGTTGAAATGGCTCAACAGCCACTAGCATCTTGTTGTTTATGTAGACAGTTCCACATAGAAGAAGGAACTTAGTATACTTGGATATTCTTGGCTTGCTAGTCCTTTGTGAGGTGGATGGTTGAGATGGACTATTTGAAGGAACTAAGTTCAGCTTCTTGAATTTGTTAATCAATTGTAAAATTGCCTATTTTACCTTCTAAGTATGAACACCTTTATGTTTTGAAATTATCCCCTGAATCTGTATCCACTTCTATAGCCGTAATTAACTAAATTATGAGCAAAAACAACTTCAGTGTATTCATAGATTGCCTTCTTTCTATCCAGATGAATTTTGATCGATTCATCCTTGGTTTTGGAGCACCTGACCTTGATAATGGGATCAAGTTGATATCCTCGAGCTAGAACATCTCCAAATTTCGTCCTGTTGATGCGATCATTCAGCTTAGAGACCCTGTTTTGTTTGTAAACATTGATATTGAAACACTGAATATTTGTCTCTTGAACATTAATCCTTTCATCAGCCGAGGCAAGGATCTGAACAAGTTTGATGGTTCGAAGGTCATCTCTTGTTTCTCAAACTGAATTATTATGCTCCAGTAAGATTTTTGTAACGTCCCAAAAATCATGACCAAACATTTCATTTTTAAACCTTAATAAAATCCATAATTGTCAAACCACTCATTCAAAACATATTTAATCAGAGTATCATGTCTAAACATATCATATCAGAGTAAAGCATCCCAGGCTAAAACATCATGGTGTGTGCGATGCAGTCAACCCGAGCTCTTCCCTCCGCTACTGGAAGTACCTAAAACCAAAACTGAAAACCGTAAGCACGAAGCTTAGTGAGTTCCCCATACTACCACATACCATACATATAACAGATATAACAGATACTGGGCCTTGCCCACTGCATCGGGCCCCGCCCAGCATCAGACCGAAGTCCGACATAAATTGGGCCCCGCCCACTCCATCGGGCCCCGCCCGACATCGAGCCCTTCTCGGTATACAGATCTGTCTCTTAGGCCTCGCCTGTCTCTAGGCCCCGCCCACTATACATATACAATCACATAAACATACTAGCACAATAAGAAAGCATACTCTACTGTATTCGTGTCCTAAGGCCTCGCCTAACTTGGGCCTCTCCCATGTCCTGCTACTGATGAGTCATGGAACCCCGTCCACACTCCTCCTGATAGTGAGATACGTGCCCCCGCCCACACTCACTTCTCCCCTATCTCGGGCCCCGCCCCTGCTCTGCTGCTAATGAGATACGGAACCCCGTCCATACTCAGCTAGTGATGAGATGCGGGACCTCGCCCCCACTCACCTCCCTACCAGGCACATACAAGTATCACACAGACAACATGTATAACTAACATACTAACATTCCTCGGGCTTGCCCCGGCATCGGACCTTGGTCCGGAAACATACTATCATACAATGCCTAGGATTACCCCCAGGTCTTCCTACCATACATAAACTAAATGGGCCGGCATTGTGTCCGTAGACCCATGCACACAGTGAGGAGACTCACCTTACACTGCTGAAACCCTGCTGATACTCCTCCGGCTGCTATTTAGCAATTCCCCGAACTGCTACTCCTTCGGCTCTCCGAGCTATCAAAACCAAAATATCACTTAGTCCAAAACAATAATCCTCCTTAGGGTAAAATGACCATTTTACCCCTAGTCCAACTTGGTCCAT